AACGGAAATCCATGGTGTCAAAGCCGTCAGAGAGAACTACTTTAATTCTATGTTCGTAAACAACTCATGGCGTCAACACGAGAGAGAACCACTTTAAATGTTCGTCAACAACAAACATAATGTAGGCCTGCTTGTAATAAATATGCTGCGTCTAGTTTTCAAAACGTAACTTATCCTTCAAATTAACATTTATATTAAGTGTGCAGAGGCGTTGCTTTTTTGCATTTAGTGACGATAATTAAACACATTTCGAATAGTTTATGCGAAGAGGATGCTTAAATAAACAGCAACAACTATGTACCGAACACTTCAACCTCTTTTCCTAATTGTTTATGTGATCCTATTTTCGGTCGTAAGAATACGTCATTTGACAATATTACTGAAACGACAATTAATCAATGAACGTACGGTATTCCTCGTCACAATGCAAACACGTTGCAGTTAGAGACTGCAGATTTCGTAACAATGAGTTAAATGCATACAATTATTTTTGAAACACCAAATTGACTATAAATTTTGATGTCGTATAAATTTGGTCGATATTAACGACGACAAACCTGTACTGCTTAAACCAATTGCGTAAATACCCGGCAATGTAAACCATCAAATTAAGGGCCTAACATACCGATCTACGCCATCTAATTAATTACCGATATTTGATAAGACAAAATGTCTACTCTTCGTCAATCACATCTACACACAATCAAATCACGGCACATTAACAAAACTGTTAAAAGTTATCGACCATGTTTTAATAGAAACTTCGATTCTTTACTCATGTACATGGGTTAAATTCGATGTAAAGTGAACGAATTTAAGCATAATCTTAATTTCTATCGCTTAATTTAGGGCCCACGCAATCTTAGCAGGTTTACACGCCTGTTGTGAGCAGAACTTTAGCCGAGTGCCGTATGTACGAACAGCAATCAGAAAGCTAATTCCGTATCCAGCTATTGGGAAAGCTGGGACAGTCCCACACAATTTTCTATTGGGTCCACAAAGAATGGGTCCACTTTTTAAAAATGTGTCTTAATTATGCTGTTTTATGCAAAAAATGAGTCCGATTTTTGAAAAAAGGGTCCAGATTTCTCATATTTTGCATTAAGTTATTAAACTTTTAAGACAATGGGTCCACATTTTTCATATTTTTTGCGTAAAATGGGTCAACTTTTAAGAAAATGGGTCCACATTATTTGAATTTACACGTGTGGGTCCACTCCTATATTTTCCCGCACTATTTGAAAATCCTGGCTATGGTACCATGGCCGTTTGGTTCCATGGCCATAGCTTCATAGTACAGCCGTTAACTATGTCTGTTGTATTAACTTTATCATTGTACTGTATTCATATTTATTATAATATTGATATCAGTCCAACTTATCTCTCTCTTTTATTGTACCGACAATTATGCGTTTAAACACATGGATGTTGTGTTGGCCAGGGAGCCTATCTTCCGAAAAAAACGGTGCACTCTTAACTGAAAAGCACTTGAACCCGTGGAAGTTCAACGAACCCACAGCAGCAACCGATGATACAAATGGTCACAGAAAAGGTTTGAGAGCTCAATAAATCAAGTAAATGTACCTACATTACATACATCGGCTAAACGTCTCTTTTGAAAGGCGGGTCTGATAATAACATGTGTTTCACATGTAGAGCAGCATGATTGTATAAAACCAGGGGTATGGCATTTATGGAAGCAAGAGAACTAGGCGCACACCTTAAAAAGGGATAGGCCCAACGCCTCATAATTATTCCACATTTATCGTTTATGTTGAAATAATAGGATAACCACGCCCCGGCACCCATCCAAAAAATCAAGACCAGCTCACATTGCCATTGTCATGGAGTATATATTTACTCTTCAATATATCTAAGTGCAGAGCATACAATCCAGATAACAAAAATAACAAATATTATCATTAAAATGACTTAGTAACACGTGGCTATCAAGCGCTATGATCATTGGATTATGGAAAAATTCAACTTCAAAGCGACGCCGACAATAACTGATGGCTAATGATGAGGGATAAATCAGCTCAATAAATGGGTTCAAAGTCAAGGACAAGACAATAGATTCACAATAAACATTGATATGCGGCGATTGTAAAGCTAGTAGATAGCCTATATACAATCTGCAAAAAAAGAAGCAAAGGCGCCACCACAGATTGTTTCAAGTATAATTTTAAGACAATAAAGTAATCATAAATATTATTTGCATCTTTGAATTATCAATCTACAGGACACAATGGCAGTTATATTGGGAGTGTAACATTAAGTATTTCTAGCCAAAGACCTCAATTAAAAAATGTATAATCTAATTTTAATGTAACGTTTCAATACTCACTTTATATACCGCGTTAGAGTGATAACGTTGTACTTTAATGAAGGTTACAGGTAGCCGAAATACGGGGTTACTGTGTCAAATTGGTAAGGCGTATTTTCTCACGTGGTACATATATTGACTGGTCAACTATTTCTAAAAAGAAGATATCGCCGATTGTTATTCGTTTACATACAAAAGGAGGATAAAGCATTTGTAATATTGCAACCATGTTTGAAAGCTTTGTCAATAAAGAAATTCTGTAAAGCCCTCTTCTGTGTACCATTGGCTATTGTATTGTATGTGTCATCTAACGATATTATACCCCCTGAGATGTTGGTAAATAATACATTGAGAAAGGCTGCTTACTCTGCACTTCGCAGCGGCCTCCGTCCTATTTGCCAAACATTTATGATGAAAAGCGTTCCGTGATGGTTATACACTGAATCGTGGTTGGTCTGAACAAAAGCGGGGCGGGATGGCCCAGCATGGCCGTTCAGTCATCTCACCTAGGCCATATTTACACGCCGAAAGTTCTAATTTGCCCTTTGCTATTACTGGGAGAAAGTTGAGGCTGCAGATTAACTTATTGCACGATCAAGTCAAAGGGAACATAGATTTTGATGATGTGGTGGTCATGATGATGAGAAGGAGGAGAAGGACACTGATGATGAGAATGATGATGTAAATGACGACGCGATGAAAGTCGACAACTTGTATTATATTGTACAGGCCTACTATGTTACCCGTTGTGACTGGACACAATCCAATGACAATTGTTATAATAGGCTGATTAATCCTAATGGTCCTAAAACGCCAAAATTTATTGGCCATATTAGGCCTGTAATAAAAAAAATATTGAGCATGTAATTAGTAGTGTAATTAAATGATTGTCAAAGAAAAATGATGAGTGCGATTTAAGAAATAACTATAGCGCTAAGAATATTCTTAAATTAAACTCGTAGAAACATTCTTCACAAGTGAACAAGCTATAGGGGGCGCTATATATTACATTTTGATCGTCACAACCGTTTAAAATGAAAAATATTGCATTTAGGAGATCTTAATTAAGCTCTTTCTAGTAAATCCTAATAATAATGTAACGTTTTTCCGCCGGTCAAAAAAAAAAAAAAAGAAAGAAAGAAAGAAGACTCACATTAGAGCAAAAAAAAAAGTTTGTTTGCCCTCCTCCACCCGCCCCTAACTCACTGAAAAAAATAAGGGCGGAAAAACAAAAAAACTTTAAAAAAAAACAATTTTTAGCTTTTTTCTTTACAACTTAAAAAAACGTGAGTGAACTTATTTTTATTTTTGCCAGATGCCCTACAAATTAGTCTAAAGTTGTTTTTTGATGTAAGATATTGCCATTCTAGGCCTCTGTGGGTTATTTTTTATTTTATTCCATCTGATGAGTACTGATATTTAAAAAAAATTAATTAATAAAGAAAATGTTTTTCCACCCGCCCCTATTTATCATTTTTTTTTTAAAAAGAAGGGCAAACAAACATTTTTTTTGGCCTTATACACGTTAATTATTATTATTATTATTAATTGGCTTTGACCATTCTTGTATCGAGACCATTTTCATTACACTAAGAATATCATTAAGAATAATAGTAAGAAGAGTGAAAGTTATGATAACAATAACGTCATCAATATAAATAATAATAAATAATATAATAACAATATAATATAGTTTTTAAAAACTTACCTGTACAGAAATAATTGTAATAAAAATAAATTTAAGGGCAGTGAAAACAAGCACATTTGTCACATTTTTTTAGTGTCACTATATGAAAATAAAAGGTTTATAGGCATAATGTTGCTTGGTTTCTGTGTTCGAAACGTAACATGTGTAGTGAAAAGTAGGCTAGTGAATTTTGTGCGAAGCATTTCGGATTAAAACATCGAAAATGCCCACTCTAAAAAAAGTGTCCACAAAAAGCCATACTAAAAGTGAAAATAGTACGGCCCCTCTTTGAAATAAAAAGTGTTTTGGACGAGTTACTGTGTGTTTTTGAAGAGGAGCGGAGAGAAGTGAGTTGGGGTGGTATTAGTGGTGGTGTTTAAGTAAATTAGGAACATATTTTAAGAGATTCCATGCTTTATATATCAAATTTACGGTGGGGCTCAAAATGCACCTTTTCCAATAATCCCATTATTTTGTGGGACCATGAATATAATTGGGGGCTCCATTATCATAACATGATTATAACTTAATCATAGTGATATAATAAATGTTTAGATTGTTTAATTTCATTATATTATGATTTATCATTTAAGTATGTTAGGTTAAGCCTTATGCAAAGTTATTTTCGGACGCGCTTCTTATATTCTATTTTGGGTGTGTTTTGCAAATATATGCTTTAGATAATAAAAATCAAAATGGTAGAAGTGAAGAAGACAGTTTTCAAAAAAAAAAGATAAAGAAACAACATCGAATACAGGCAGAAATTCTAGATTTTGACGGCATAAAAATATATCTAGCGCCATCTAACGATCTTGTCTATTTTCGGCGCTTGAGTATATATTTTTGTATTGATTTATTGCGCAACTCAACAAAAACTACAATAACAAGACCGGGTGTTTATTTCATTACTTGAGGGAATCGGGCTAGTACAATCCAGCTTTCACGAAGTTTAAACTTTTGTCATTAATAGTGTAGTAGGTTTATTGATGTGTATACTTATACCTTACATCTCAGTATATTTTTAATTGTATTTGTTGGTGACAACACTCATTTATAGTGTAAGCCTAGGCTAGGCTAGGCCATGAATGAGACTTACCGGTAGTCATGGATATGCCTGGGCTTAGGCTAGCTAGGTTACTATTTTCAGTCGGCGTTCAGTGTCTACTGCCACGTGTCTGGCAGGTGATTTGCGGTGAAAGGAAGTGATCGTAAGGAATTCTGTTTTTGCTGTTTCAGTCCCTTCTATCTTTAAGTCGTATTCCATGCTTTATATATCAAAGTTAAACAAATTCTTTATGGGATTGTTTTATGCTAGTGGTAGGCCTAGGCCTAGTAGTATAAATTATTAGGAATTAGATTTTGGCTTGGCTTAGTTTTTGAACTTCTAGTCTAGGCCTAGATATGCAACAATATAAAAAGAATGTTTAATAATTACTATAATTCAATATAACCACTTAAATTTTGCAGAAGGATGGCTTCCATTAACTTATTAAACTTAAATAGAGATGTATTGTTCTTAATCTTGTCCTATTTATCTGTGAATGACCTTGGAAGACTTGCGCAAGTCTGTCGCCAACTTCATAATTTTTGCAACCAAGATGCAGTTTGGAGAAATGATTATAAGAAGAGACTTCTTGCGTCATGTTCTCGAAACCAAGAAAAGTAAGTTTCATAGTTTCTTAAAGATAGTAAATACTGTATCATTATCTTAATCAACTTTATTGTTATCCTCCATATTACTACCGTAATACCTCACTCAAGTTGAAGCCCAATGGGCTTAATCTCAAGAAGAAGCCATCTCGAATTGAAGGCCCCCTCTCTAGTTTGCAAATTTAGCCTCTTCTTAAGATAGCATATACTTCTTTCCGAGATAGTACAGTACATACACTGTACATGAATTTTAAAAACAAGATAAATTAAAAACACGCTTGGTTTATAAAAATAGTTCAGGTAATTTAACGCCAGTTAATACACTCCATGAGATAGATTGATGTTTTATAGTACAAATTTCCAAAATTTACAGCATTCGTTTTAAAGAGAAGCCCTCCCTCTTTACTTTACAAAAGTAGCCTCGAAAAGAAGCCCATCCAAAGTTTGCATAAAAATGAAGCCCAGGGCTTCAATTTGAGTTTTTACGGTATTTTGTCATCATCAATTATTTTAATATAATACTGTATTACTATATTTATTGCTTATTAACAAAGTAGTGTCATGTAGTAGTGTGACGTAATGCTAGTAATGACGCTTAAGTTACCTAATCATTTGACTCTACGATGTGCAAACCTGTCTCCAATCCACCCCACCCCATGAATCCACCCAAATACTACTTCACTATCCTGCCATGTATCTGTTCCCCCATCATCAGAGCCCAGATCTTTTGATTAGAAACCAAAAGCCTTACAGTAGTGCCACAGTATTTTGAAGATGTGTGTTTTTTTAACCTAATTCTTCATTGAGTAGTTTTGATTTTTGACTTTAGCTTTCCAAGTTTGAATCTGAAGGAAATATGTAGAGTTTCAAGAAACTGGGAAAATGGATTGATGACAGATAGGCAACTAATGAAGTTCAAATCACAGTAAGTCACTCCATAGGCCTAGAGTACATACCTCCACCCTGTGCATGAATACAGTGCTGTACCAACAATATGCAGGACTTCCTTAATGGGTGAAAATTCAGCATAACTTCAATGAAATAATTGAATCGGCAGTCCTGTTGAGGCACATTATTTTCTTTAGTGCTGCAGAATACCCTCAAGAAAATAATGGAATCGCCTTTCGTATTCAGGCACATTGATTTCGTGCATGCTGCCTAAATACGTGGGGTGATTCCATTAATTTTTTTATGCTTGAGGGTAAAAAAACAAATTTATGTGACCTTGTCCTTTGACCTTTTTTTCCAAAAATTGGATGGTGTCTTTCTTCGATTACTATGTACCATTTCACTAAATTTTATGATGATCCATTCCTTAGTTTTGCGTAATCTTAATAACAGACAGACAGACAGCTCTGAATACATATCCCCCTTGGCAAAAAATTCTCTTAATAACACTGTCATAATTTAAGAAATGTGCTAAACTTACATTTCTAAGTCATCATTTCAGTTGAACCTGCATTAATTACATTTTAATTACTGGTATTTATTTTAATCAAAGAATAATGAATTGAAATTTATTAGACATATAAACAACCATCATAATTATATTGCTATAATTTAGAAGCCAGTTAAGTTTTACATGATATAAATTCTAAGCTTAAACAAAAACAGTTATTTGGGGTGCTGCCACTTATCATTTAAATTTATTTTGTTTATGTAATAAAGGTTGATGCCATGGTTACAGCTACAAAATGAGCACCTGTATATGAGTCATGGAGCAAGTCTTCGTTGTTACCACATAAGGAAGAACGGTAGTCTTTCTAGGCACCCTCTCCTCATATGCAACAAACACACCTATGATATATGTCACTTTGTTGTAAATGATGGTTATATTGTCACAGGTGGAAGGTAAAATATATACAATCATTTGATTTGGTGATAAAGATGATTATAATGATACCATGATGCTCGGCCATTCGTGTAGAATGCCCAAACATTTAAGGCAGGGGTACTGCAACCTACAGCCATAATATCAGATCTGTTTCCAAAGACACACTTTTCTATGGTTCAAGTTGTGGAACAAGTCTTCTAGAATAAGGACTATAAACCGTAGGCCCAGTGTACACAATTGTTCTTTATAGAATCTAGTACATCATTCTAGATGAGTAGGGGATAACCCTGGTGTCGTGTACTGCTCCGTAAAGAACCTGTTGTGGATAGACAAGAGTAGTTGGTACCAGTTCACCAGGTAGCTCAGTTATGAAGTGACCCTTAGGGGAGAGGGAGGTCACTGTACGAGCTGGTACATGCCTCAAGCACTTTGAGATTTTTGTATAAAGCGCTATATAAATTTTACTACATTACATGATATTTCCAGAGAAAGACATGAAAGAAATGTTGACATTATTTTATCAGTCAAGACGAACTACAATTACAGTCTTCATAAAAATATTGAACACAATTTACAAAGTAGTAATAAATTTATTTTATTGTTTTTTTTTTAATAGGGACCACCAAATAAACATATGGAAGCTGACCAGAGGGCCAAATGTCCAGTTTATCCGCAGTTTAATAGGTCATTCATGCAAAGTTAGTTGCATTGATTCACAGGATGGCCTGGTCCTATCAGGCTCTGCTGACCACTCATGGAGGTTGTGGTCAATGGATCGGGACGAATGCTTACTGGAAAGTGAGATGCCAGATCGACTGCTATCAGTAGCTATTAATCCATGGGACAAGTAAGTTATGCACAGTAATTTTAAATTATCTGAAAATTTAGTCGTCATAATCCTACATCATATTCCAATGCATCTTTATGTTCTAACCAAAAGTTTCTGTAATTCCTCTATATGTGGCCTTAATGTTGTCCTATCACTGCCATATATGGGCATGATATTGTCATAACATTCTCTTATATGGGTAAATCACAAGTATAGTCATAGTAGACAGCCAGTGTGGTAATGTTATTTTATATTTATGTTTAGCCCTTCTACATTAAGACTAGTGTGATATTCTTAATGTTGTTATTATTAATATTAATAATGTTTATGGTAATAATAATTGAATTTATATAGCACATACATCCTCTATGTGCTTTTACAGTCAGAAGTGCAATAAATCTAGGTGATAAATTATTATATAGATAAGTAAATAGATAGCTATTATATAAGTTGTAATTCATTTGAAATATACAGTAGTTTTAAGTTCTTTTATTCCATTCCTTTCATCTTATTATAGTTATATTAATAACATTTTAATCATGTTATTGTTATAAAATGTTATTATTATTATTTTATATTATGTTATTACTTTTATTATTGTGTTTATTTAATATTTAATTTCAGAAACATGATTACAGGTACATCATGTGTTAATGACCGCAAACCATTAGATATCTGGAATACCGAAAAGTAAGAATTTTTATTTTAAATTTGTTGATTCTCTTCTGTGTTTAATATCAAGTCATACCTCCATATTATTTGCCTGGTAGAAGACAACCCAAACATACACTACCATTGTGAGTTATTGTAGAGAAAGCCTAACATGGCTAGTTGGATGGCCTAGTGGTTAAGGCCATAATATCGATGCTGGTTTGAATGGTACAGGTAGCTCGCCTATGGTTCTGAAGGCGGAACAATTCTTCTTGGATAAGGACTATAAACTGTAGGCCCAGTGTACACAATTGGCTCATGTGCACTTTACAGAACGCAATACATCTATCGAGACGAGTAGGGGGGGTTACCCCGGTGTACTGGTCCAGTCAGCCCCTGTTGTGGACAGACGATAGTATCTGCTACCGGTTTACCGGGTAGCTCAGCCACGAAGAGACCCTTAGGGAAGAAGCAAGTTACTGTAAGATTTAATGCAGAAATATATAATCAACCCAAAGTGATTGTTTTCAGTAATTTTTTATGTTTATTTTAACATGTGCAGTTCATTAAAATACATCTGTGGCAGTAAAAGAGTGATTTAATTTTAAAAATTTAGTTTGTCAAAAGGTTAAAAGTTTAATAAGAATATTAACATACAGTATTGTCGTTTTTTTATGTTTGTTTTAACGTACTGCAGTTCAATGAAAATTCATCTGTATTGGTAGAATAGTGATTTAATTTTAAAACTTTTAATTTGTTGTTTAATAAAAAAGTTTTATAATTATATTAACATACAGTCGTACTAAATAAAAGTAAAACAAATATGAACTACTAATGTTTGTTTTGGAATTATTCCTGACACCTGTGCTTCATCTAGGATGTTTAGCTGGAGGTTTTTAACATCTGATCTCTTTCAGTGGTAAACATATGGTAACACTCGGCAGCAACTTCCAGAAGGGTGCTGGTGTTCTAGACGTTCAGTTTGAGGACCCTCACACTGCCCTCTCTTGTGGATACGACACTTACTTAAGAATCTGGGATACAAGGGCTAGTCGGTATGTTGACAAAATAAAAATTGAAAGAGAAGTTGAAAAAATTATTAATTATGTCAATAATATATTTTTGGAAGTGTGATGATGATAATGATAAAATTAATAATAATAATAATAATAAATATATTTTAAAGCCTGGACGTGATTCCATAGAGTATGCAATGCGACAAGGTGCAAGGAACAGATCGTATTTAATGACAGAAAAGTCAGAAAATATTGCCACATCATCAAGTGCTCAGGCAAACATTTTTTTTACACATTGCTTAGCGAACTTTTTTTTTGTAAATACTGTCAGAGGAGTTCGCAAAAAACATTAAAAATTATTTTTTTCTCATATTTATCCAATGATTTTGCCAAAAGCATTTAGTCGGAGGAGAAAATAATAATAACATTTTATTGATGAATGTAAACTGTCTAGTTAGGATTAATAAATGCTTTAAATTTATATAATTAAGGAAGATTTCAAGGCAGCAGCGGGCGTAATAAATATAAATATATATAATATGATTATGAAAAATGAATAAAGATTTAAGATAACAATAATATCATGTTTAACATAATATTTGTAATTAGAATAAAATGCAATATATAATGTGATTATAAAGATTTAAGCTAACAATTATATTATGTAAAACTTATATTGGTAATTATGATAAAATTCAATAATATGATTATGAAGAATGAATAAAGATTTTAAGCTAACAATAATATTAACCATAATAATGGTAATTATAATGAAGTACAATATATTATATAGATATAATGCATTTGTTTTGATTTTATCTTCATAACATACCTTATTGCATATTTTGTCATATTTTAAAATGTTATATATCTATTAGATCATGTGTCAGGGCATATGAGGAAATGGACGACAACGCTCTTTATTGTCTGCGTAGTAATGGTGGTTATCTGATAGCGACAGGCTCCAGTCGATTTGGTGTTGTCAGACTGTGGGACAAACGTATGACTAAATGCATACATGTAAGTTTTCAGAGTAAAAGGGCTTTGTGGTCTAGAATGTTGGTATAACCACTGTGCACTATACTCTAGATGGTCTTACCCTTGTTTATTCAACTCTTCTTAAATTATTGATACAAGTTAAAGAAATAAAACAATTATTATCAATACTATACGTAATGTAAATACTAAGTTAAAGAAATAAAACAATTATTATCAATACTATACATAATGTAAATACTTATGTTTTGTTTTGTTGGCAGTATATCTGCATATTTGAGAAAGTCGAATTTTGAATATAAAATATTCAAAAATATTTAAAAATAAATAAAAATAAATCTATATATTCAGCAACAAAATCAGATCCACTGACAAAGCGCATTGACAATGTAGGCGGTCAATGCTTGAGCACATTTTACGGAGTGATGAATTCACTCCTGCACATTGTGCACTTGTGTTTACAGTTTAGGGAAAGGGGAAGGGGCAATATTGAGAAAAATCAATAATTTGGCTGTATAGATGACTCACTTAAAAGATCGATTAAGTCACTAACTGCATATCAGAAACAGATCAACGTAAAAAACAGTCTATGCAAAAAAGTACAAAGGTATTATTATTATTATTATTATTATTATTAGTTTACACCAGCAGTTTACATTTCTGTTTTATAATGACTTTTTTTTTTTATTACTGTTGATTATTATTATTGGGTGTTATTTTTACTATATTATTATTTTGTTCCTTATATATAATTGTCATTCTTTCATTTTCTACTTCAGAAATTTTATGTTGGCGGCAACAAAAGTGGATCAGTTTATTCTTTGCAATTCAACCTAAAGCATCTCTATGTGAGCTTGGCACATTCCATTCAAACTCTGGACTTCTGCTGATATTCGATGCATGGTAGATGAACATTTAGAAATTGATTTCCTTGTGTTTATGGTAAAAGTGCAATCTATAAATTTTATGTGCAGTTAGTAAAAAGGAACTGTTGTGTGAAAGAATGAAAATGCTGTGAGAATTCCTGTGAGTCCTGTATCACCAGGAATCCTGTCATCAATATGTATCCTACCTCTACAAAATATCCTGCCACCACAATGATTCCATCACAATGACTCTGGTACCATGGTGGATTCTGGCATCACCATGAGTCCTGCCATCATGATGTGTTCTACCACCACAAAGGATCATGCCACCACAATGATTTGTGCCATCACAATGGTTCTGGCACCATGATGGATCATGGCATCACCATGAGTCTTGCCATCATGATGTGTTCTGCCACCACCACAAATGATCCTGCTACAAAAACGAGTCCTGCCATCATGATGAATTTTACTCCCACAAAGGTCATGTCATCGCCATGAGTCCTGCCTATCATGATGGGTTCTACCACCACAAAGGATCGTACCACCACAATGAGTCCTGCCATCATAATGGGGTCTACCGCCACAAAAAGATCCTGCCATCACCATTGGCTCTGCTGCCATTGATGTCTGGCTGTTCACTGTAAAAGAAGAAGAAAATACCTTGCAACTTTCAAATCTACAAAAGGTTATCAAGGTATCCTTTGTTTCAACAATAATAAAAATAAACAGAGCACATTGTAGTTAAGTAATGAAAAATAAATGAATCCAAGTAAAATAAAGCAATAAACTTTAACAAATTTAGAAATTGAAACTCTTGAAAACCACTTTTAGCACTTAACTTAATTTACGTATCAAAAGTATGCAAGAAAAGTTTTAAATAAAAATAAAAAGTTAACTAGTTTTTCTTATATTATTTCAAAATTCATTGTAATGTCCATAAAAAAAAGTATTGCAGAGTAGAGTAGATGATTTTATCGTTGATATGCCCGACCCGCATATAGGGTTCTGTAGCGGGAGCGTACCTGCTTCGTTTAGGCATGAGCCAGTACTAATTGTAACAGAAATATTACGATAATATTACAAGGGTCTGAAGTGCATATCGCAGGCAGGTTGGCATTGTAGTACTCTATTATATTTTCAACAAACATACACACAACCTTCGATACGGGCATGTGTAGTTCAACTATGAATTGGCTTATTGTGACAAGTTTGTAATTCATTTATAGATATATATTTTATTAATGTTATTCCTTAAATAGTTGCAAGTGCAAAAGTAAATGAAATTTAATCAGGGATTACAGATATAGGTCACTTTCAAAATATATTTTTCCAAGTTGTGAAGTGTATTATGCAGTTAAAATTCAGATAAATAAAATTATTTATTTTTGAGATATATCTTATTAACAGAAAAACATCCATTTTGGTGTTGTGATATTTATTTCATCGACATTTTAAGAATTAGATTTTTACGTCATTGATCAGTAATTTGATTGAATATGGTCATAATTTACAGTACTGTAATAGTAATAACCTTCATCCAACTTTCATTTGTCTATTGTCATGGACTACTGTACCTCTATCGAAGATGTATAGTCAGTTTAGAACTAATAAAATTGAACTAAAATTATTATAAGTGCTCACTTTAACATAGCCAATTTTGATTGTGTAAATGGTTTACTGAATAAAATGAATAAATAATTGACGTTTGTATTTTGCCCCGTGTTAAGAATAGAAAACTGTTTGCTGCCCTCTATTGTCTATAAAGTTTTTTGACCTCAAACTTAAGTAGGCACAGTGGAAGTCCTGCAGTTTCAATGCATATCTGAAGTATATACGTAAGTTTTCTATGAATACGATTAAAAACAAAAATAACATTATTATTAAATTATATTAAATTCTGATTATCCAGTGTATTTGATATTCATAAAAGCTGGGAGAGATTGCTGTTGTGCATGGACTTAACTAGGAAAAGCAGAATCATTTTGGCTAACCACACCATACCGTAGCTTAGTCAACATGTGCTTCCAAGGCAGTGCATAGCCTGGTCTTAAGATGTGTTGTGTAGTGGTAGGCCAAAAGAATAATGTAGAAGCCCCCTAGCTTTGTAAATATGTTTATAATTATTTTATAATGAGGAAAACGAGACTAATTGGGACACAAAAATGTTGAGAATATGGGCTGAGGTACCTGGAAATTGCACTTTCATAACTTAAAAATCTTACCGGTACTAGGCCTATGTTCATATCAATACAATACAGGATTAATACAATTTAGAGGGGTGCGATCGCGCCGTCTGCATCCGCGCCAGCTGTCCACACCACTGGTGGTGCAAGCGGGGGCAGGGAGGGAATTCCCCACCCCCATCTGGATCCCTGTCATCCGACGCCACAAGGTTGTCGAATCAAAATTTTAAAAAAATTACAACTTGCCTTTCCAAATACAGTAATGTTATTTTGATTGCCACTCTCATATATTGAGGTCTGAAAGCATAATGTGGACCATAAAAACTCTCCCAGCGAACCCTAACAGGGATTTTTTATTCGGGGCTCAGACCGAGGTTCTAGTCGGCCTCCTTGGTTGGGACCCATGTCGGCCCCCTTGGTTGAGACACCTGGCGGACATGTCGGACCCCTTGTCGGCAAATATCTGGAGCCACCACTCGTCCACACTATAAAATTTTCTTTGACAAAAAAAAAAAAAAAAAAGACAAAAAAAAAAAAAAAAAAAAATGTTGTATGCCAAAAATGTCATGATGTGATGGTCATCATGACCATATTTAGGCATTTCACATGTTTTTGTTAATTAAAATTTGGTGTCTAAACAGGGCTTTAGGCTTATCAATGTCTAAGTCTAAACAGGGCTTTAGGCTTATCAATGTCTAAGTCTAAACAGGGCTTTAGGCTTATCAATGTCTAAGTCTAAACAGGGCTTTAGGCTTATCAATGTCTGGGAATTCTGCTCCCTATGAGAATTGCCAATTGCTGTCCAAGCCAAATTACACCACCTAAATAGGCAGAGTGGGAGTGTAATCCGTCATGATTTTGGCCCCCACAGAACCTATGAGCTAAATTCACTTTTCTTCGTATATCAGTAATGCTGGTGTTTCTTTATACCACTGCATTACCGAGCAGCTTCCTCCATGTTCGATAGACTGGGTGCCTCAATTGCTAACCCACAGTTTTCAATGCTTTTACAACTAATTTATCGAGATCTTTTCCAATTATAGAATATAATAAATCATCATTACTGACATGTAATTTATTATAAATTGTAAGTTTTCAAGGCTGAAATAAAGATGAAATGTTAGAAAGTTTATTTGCAGTTGAAGTCTATGGATTCTGTGCTTCGATGGATGTCAGCAACTATACCCAAATTAAAATCTGTTTACAATGCACAATTAGTAAACTATGTTTGACTTGCCTGTAAGCTCATGGCCATTTTCATTTGAGGGCTGCAAGGGTATGTTAACCTTTTAGCTGTGCTTCTGCTGAGCATGACACACACAAATTAAATTGTTTGCTGCAAGTATTTTTAATAAGAATGATGATAGTTTTATCTTAAAATCAAATTTTAAGCTGTGTTTACACTATGAAATTTTCTTCGACAAAAAACTGTTGTATGCCCATATATAGTAATGATGTGCCTATATATAGTCATGATGTAATGTCATCTTAAAATCCTGTGAGGTATTTTTACATTTTAAAGTTACAATGAAATTTAAGCAAATATTTTTCTTGCTATGACACCTTTGATTTTAAGCTTTGTTTACGCTATAAAATTTTCTTTGAAAAATAACTGTTGTATGCCCATATATGTGACCGGCTCTGGCAAAACCCTCCGTTTGTAGGAAAAGTTCAAAATTGAGTTGTTGGTGTTTTTAGATTCTGGGAGTAGTCTTCTTTAAAACAGTGTTTATTTGATGGAAATTGGTTGAGTATTATCAAAGTTCATTCATTGGATATCAGCAATGTAGGTTTTGAGAAAACAACTTCCAAAGACTCCAAAATCAATAGTTTATTATTAAGATTTGTATTTTTTAAAATTATTTTAAAATACTTTTCAGTTTTGATAGTCTGGACTTTTGCTTTAGATTATTTTCATTTAGTTTCGGAGCTCAGTAGAATGGAATAAAAAGTCTTCTTTGCAATTAAAATAATTTTGTTTATTTTAAAACTTCTTTACCAGTCTGTAAATGACAGCCAATGATAATCTTTCTAGTAGCTGTGGATAAAGTATATAAAAATATTCACATAAAATAGGTTAATATTTATTGATGAAAATTCTTTGTACAGGAACTATAAAAGTATGGTCACTTAAATTTTAATTAACAAATATCATATAAACCTGTCGTTCCTCATTATCATCTTCCACTTTACAATTCCAAATTGACAAATATTTTGCATAAATTAATTAGTGGCACCAAGGTTGTGAACTGTAGGCCAACAGCTACAGCATATTATACCGATTCTGCTTAATTGACTTTTGATTAATTTTAGAAAGTAGAAATCTAATGTATTGTGTGTGTACTGAGAGTTCTGCATGGAAGACATATGTTTCAAATCGTAGGTACACGTGTATCATTGCTTTACGTATACTGTATGCTAAAAAAAAGTCCACAAGGTTAACTCAAGGGAAGAATATCACCTGTTACTTTTAAGTAACCTTGCATATCATATACCTTTTTGATTTTAAGTTAATTATCTGTGTGGGTTAAATATTTCCTTAACAATCTGTGGGTCACTTTATAAGAGGATAAAGATCAATCAAGTGTAATGATTCTGAATAAATTTACAGTTTAGAAATTGTTGAGTGGGTGCTTGTGCATGCAAGATGGGGTAAAGGAAGGGGTTTTGAATTGTAGACTTACCTCTTGTTTGTGTTCCTTGATAAGGGCACTTTATTCATGTTGTCTCTCCACCCAAATGTATAATTACCTGGTAGGTCGAAATGACAATCGGCTAGCAGCACCCCTGCTAGATTACATTGGGAATTTTTTTAATATTCCTGTGTATATAAAACATACACATGAACAATTATATAGTGCTATAGCTCCCTCTGTTGTTTCTCTTAGGATTTCTTTGTTTTCAAGCTTTACCCCTTATTAATTTTATATATTTATATTATTTTTTTTTTTCCTGTTACCAAGAAGTTGAATGTTCTCTCATACCCTGAAAGGGGTCCGTTACTTTATAGAAATAAAGTCTATTGTCTAAAAATAGGTTTACATAACTTTAATAATTGTGTATTTACTGTATCGCTCATATTTGTGTCATGAAGCCGCTAACTGGATATTTTAGATTAAGTCATAAAGTAGATAGTGTAAAGTAAATGCCAATGATAGTGTTCTCAAAAAAATGTTGGCCTCTAATTCCAAACCGTTGAGGTAGATTAGAAAAATAAAAGTGATCTTATAACATTTATTCAATGTAAATTTAAAATTTGATTAATATAAGTGGGACATTCTTACATATTATTTCTTTTGTGAGGAGAAAAAAATATGCAGTGCCTATGCAGTGCCTGTTCACTCATAAATAGATTGACTAGAAACAACAATCATGTCTGAAAATGAGTTTGCCTAATGAGAGGTTTTTGAAAGGTGCCAAAAATTACCTGCCTGGGGGCTTTCCTAATATGTCGCCAAGAATATTCATACGAAGTGAACCAGTCACTGTGACGAATGTGAGAGGCTTCAGAGAGGCGATCCAAGGGGAAATTACTGAAACATTTAATGATGATTGAACCTTGAGATGAAAGGCTTAGGTTCAGAATTTTTATTTTTGCAATTCCGGAATATTGAAACTATGTACCCTAAAGTTTCTCATGTATTTCTGTTTATTTTAAATTCATGCTTCTCGCAAACTACATTAACCTCAAAAATGTAAATGAGTTGATCTTGTGCCTACGGCCATGTATACATTGGGGATATAAAAATGACTTAAGACCGGTTGCTGTGTAACATAATTTGCTATCATCAAGATTGTGGAAAGGTTGTGCTTAAGCCTCTTGGCCGTTGGTACCTCCATTCATTGATCCAATGCAATTTGTTTGCAGAAATTTAATAGTAATGACGATGCAATTATTTATAAGTTAAAGAAATTATATTCTTATTTGGAATGTTCTCATCTTGGCAATGATGTTCGAAATTATAATGTATTTAGCTTTTTGTCTACGAGTTAATCTGTGTGTCGTTAATGTTGTAAGGTTGTTTGTTGTTGACAATGGATTCACAGTTCGCTAGGTTAATTCCAGATGTTAAATGTTCTGTTATAAATATGAAGACTAATCCATTATAAGGTACAGCTTGCTTGCTTGTAAAGTTCCTCTTCACTTTACTTTTCTAAGATTATAGAACACAAGAGAAATGTGCAAATCGTCAAATCTGTTGTCTCAGAGATAAATATTCAGGGGAGGGGGAGACAAATCTGTCCAGCAGGGGATCTCACAATTTTTGGCAGAGGCTAGGGACGAACTCCTGGTGGGAGTCCTGATATTAAGGACTGGTCAGTGTTTTAGAATATATTATCCACCTAGACTCCACTGACATTCTACAGACTTTTTTTTACTACAAACATCCGTAGCATAATTATATCTCAATATCAGACATATACTGTAAGAATAGTGGCAAAATAAAATTCCTTGGCAGCCAATGGCTGAATTGATGGATTTGTTTTACATAAACCCACCATAGTCAAAGTATATAAATAAAACAAATTTGATCAATTTAAGGGCAATTTTT